ATACTTAACGAAATACTATCTGTCAATCAAAATACCCCACCTCCCCCCCCTCTTCCCACCTGCTCCCTGGGTCCCTCCTTCCCTCCCTACCAGAGAAATGATTGGGTTATAACAGTATATTTACATTTTTAGTAATAAATAATACCTCAGACTAAAGTTAGGATAATATAATTGACATTGCTGGATTCCTTGCAAGACCAGGAATATTTTGAATATAAATGTCATATATTTTGCACAAAAGATAACATATTTACTCAGAGTAAACAAAATACTTAAAGTAGATCTAAAATTTGTATGTCTAATGCAAAATCTATGATGTTTATATTCAAAATGATGATCAATTTGTAAGAATTCCAGCAATGTAAATTATATTCTGGCCGGGTAATTTGTATGAATTTTATGAGCTAAATGAAAAAATTATACTTCACCCGCGTATATGAGTAGATGCACCTTGTAAAGTGGGAATTCTGGTTCTGGCAGGGTACCGCGTAGATGTAGAAATGTAAAAAAAAAAAACGGTATTACTGTAGTTATTCAGTTTTCTTCCATTTTCTTTTTATTTCTGTACACAATTTCTCACACAGGGGTCCTCGTTATCCACGGTTAATTGTGACCGGAAAAATGCCTCTGATAAGAAATCCACTGAAAGTGGGGAATTAATCCCATAAGAAATAATGGAAACGGTCAAATTGGGACCATGACATTGTACATGACACTCAAAATAATTTTATATGATAACTTTTAACATTTATTTACCTTAGAAACTTTTGTTAAACATTTTGATAACATATTATTTTAAGGAAATTATTTAACTTGATAAGTTATTTAACGTTCTTAAAGTTCATTGGGGTCGGTGTGTTGAGGCAACGTAAGCTGTGCCAGAGACCCGGTAGTCCGCAGCAACCGTTGCTGGTGCACACTTACTCCAGTGGTTCATTGAAACAAAATACTTATTACAATGTAAAAAAAATACTGTATATAATTTTAACATAGTAAAATATTTAATTTACTTAGCTTCAAAGGTGGAGATGATTGGTTTGATGGAGGTGCGTGTTGGGGGATGGAGGATTAGTCATAGGATGAAAAGAAACAGGACCAAGTGGATTGTCCACTCCCACTCTCCTTTTGCCTAATCACTTCTAATTTTACATCTATACTATAGCTAGTGTGCTTACTTTTGAGTGCTGCACTACCCTGTTTGGGTTGGGAACTCATGGCTACAAAAATGTTACAATAATTCACCACAATATGCACAAAAAGACACAACAAAGGCAGAAGTAAACACAACAGAGCACTGGTCTGGACGAGACAAAGAGAGAGACTGGTGCGGGGACACATGTGTGCATGCATGGCGCCAGGAAAAGGATGAAATTTCAAACGTTTCAGATAAAAAAAGTAGAATTTATCGAAAGTTTTAAATACATAGATTTTATCTGGAGTTTTCAGAGTCTTTGAGTGGAATCCACTTAAATGTGGGGACTTTTTACGTGAATGGTCACGAAAAGTTGACTACAGTATTACCCCGCCTAACGCGGTTTCACTTAACGCGTTTTATATACGCGGTGCCTCGCCAGAGCTGAACTTTCACTTAACACGGATTTTTTCCACACATACACGTGAGTGTCCGGCTTGAGACGCTATTTTTAGATTTGCCCCACCCACCACCCTGCCTGACTGCCTGTTTTAGCTCATAAAATTCATACAAATTACCCGGCCAGAATATAATTTACATTGCTGGAATTCTTATAATTTGGTGATCATTTTGAATATAAACATCATATATTTTGCATTAGACATACAAATTTTAGATAAAATGTTTACTCTTGAGTAAATATGTTATCTTTTGTGCAAAATATATGACATTTATATTCAAAATATTCCTGGTCTTACAAGGAATCCAGCAATGTCAATTATATTATCCTAACTTTAGTTTGAGGTATTATTTATTACAAAAAAGTTAAGTATTCTGGTTTTCCCACACATCTCCTTGGGACGGTTGGTGGAGGGTGGGGGGGGAGGGAGGGACCGACCGACCATCTGTTACCCCGTGAAGAATATTTTTTTTTTTTTATTAACTGAAGATATTTGTTTTAGCTCATAAAATTCATACAAATTACCCGGTCAGAATATAATTTACATTGCTGGAATTCTTATAATTTGATGATCATTTTGAATATAAACATCATATATTTTGCATTAGACATAAAATTTTTAGATAAAATGTTTAATCTGAGTAAGAATGTTATCTTTTGTGCAAAATATATGACGTTTATATTCAAAATATTCCTGGTCTTACAAGGAATCCAGCAATGTCAATTATATTATCCTAACTTTAATCTGAGGTATTATTTAATACAAAATGTTAAAATCTAAATTTTTCACCCACTCTTCTCTTGAAGGGATGATTGGTGGGGGGTGGGGGGGAGGGTTGGGACTGACCGCGCGGTTGGAAGAGGGGGGAAGGCAAGGTGGGGTACTTTGATTGACAGATAGTGTCCTGAAGATTATTTTTTTTTTTATTAACTGAAGATATTTGTTTTAGCTCATAAAATTCATACAAATTACCCGGCCAGAATATAATTTACATTGCTGGAATTCTTATAATTTGGTGATCATTTTGAATATAAACATCATATATTTTGCATTAGACATACAAATTTTAGATAAAAAAATTTTCTGAGTAACTATGTTATCTTTTGTGCAAAATATATGACATTTATATTCAAAATATTCCTGGTCTTACAAGGAATCCAGCAATGTCAATTGTATTATCCTAACTTTAGTTTGAGGTATTATTTATTAAAATTTAGTGGTTTTCCCCCAAAAATTTCTCAGAGAGGGAAGAGCCGGCAGTGTAGTGTGAGAGGGGGAGGGAGTTGAGTCCATTATTTGAATGGACATTAACTTGGCGACTGTATTTCTCTATTTCTCTTAAGTATTAATTGTGTGCATGTACCATCATAAAATTAAGATGTTATTTTTACTACAACATAGTTATGTGTCTTCAAAAAGTGGAGTTTGGGGGTCGGGCCAGTTTCTATTGGAATTAATCCCATATGGTTCTGTTGTTCACTTAACGCGGATTTCACTTAACACGGGACCCTCTGGGTTCTATTGACCGCGTTAAGTGGGGTACAACTGTACTTAATTGCAAAACCGTGGATAGTGGATAATCTTATAACGAGGACCTCCTGTACCTTATCTCTTCTTCTTGTTCCTATTTACTTAAACAATTATGGAGAGTATAGACAGGAGGTGGAAGGTGGAGGAGAGAGTGGTAGAGGCTGGGTGTGATGGGGGAAGGGTGGTTGATCACAGTCACCTTTCCCCCTTGTGGGGGGGACAAGGGTTGCTTGTCCATCCCCCCTTGTTGTTGCCTAATTCACCAGATTTTTATTCATTTATTATATTGTCCTATGAGCATATGATCAACCAATTATGGTGTATGTTTCATCATAAATATTGTAACATACAGTATTAAATAATAGAGCAAAATATGATATACAGTAGTATATAATTTTACTTCAAAATAAAACACCCCCTCCCTCTGAAAAGGAGGAGAGGGGGTGGGACTGGTCGTGCCACATTTGTCAGTTTGTTATTGTATTCCTTATTATATTCTTGTATAATCAGCATCTCATAATTTATATTTCTTCATAAATGTGGTAAATAAAACACTTGAATTCTACATCCAAGCTTTCTTGACTCATTTCACTATATATCTGAAATAACACAAAAGCAAATGTTGTAACAATTCAGAGGAAACAACAATGAACATAATATAACCTGGTGGTTTTATCCTAATAATGAAATAAGCGCTTACACAAAATACAGTAAAACCTCGATTAACCGACCCTCGATTAACCGACCCTCGATTAACCGACTTTCGGATTAACCGTCAATCCTGAACTCCTAATTTTTTTTTTTTTTTTTTTTATACAGGGATTAGCCTACCCGGGCACAGGTCACTGACCCACATCAGGGCCTGGGGGGCGATAATGTAATAATATTAATAATGATAATAATAATAGTAATAAAGAACCATAAATAAATGCAAAAATGAAAAAAAAATCAAGAGTGAGAAACAATATATGTATGTTGTGTTGTCAATAGTAAGAGAAGCAATTGAGACCCTGCAATTGTGTGTAAATGAGGTAGAAAGTCAGATGAGCAACCTGGGACTTGGTCAGAATTTTTGTGATGACATATGTTCTTTGACTTTTCCATTTTTTATTCACGGTTTCTGTGCTGGTTCATATTTATTTACTAAATTGGTTAATGTTTTAAAGCAAATTCTCTTGAAATATGAATGGCAAATGAACAAAAATGAATAGAGGGAATTAAATGAGATAGCTTAGGGAAAGGTACTTTGAAAATGTACTTTTTATTTCCATAGACTTTATGTACTATTAACCGACCTTTCGGATTATCCGTCGGCCCCTTCCCCCCATATGTGGTCGGTTAATCGTGGTTTTACTGTACATAGTCAGGTCAACCGAGATCAGAGCGAGAGCTGTTAGACGCTAGCCTACTAGACAATCAGACGACAGAGCAAGTAAGTGAAACGCAATAAATGCCGCAAGTATACAATAAACTAAATAAAGTAAAATGAAAAAGTACTTCACTCAAGGACAGAATAATATTAGTAATTTCCGTTATGATATTTTAAAAATATCACAATAAATAATATAATATACAGTATTAAATAATAGGGGGATCAATGAAAAAAATTACAGAAATTTAAAAAATTTAATATATCAAGTGTAAGAAACGATATGTATGTTGTGTTGTCAAAGTAAGAGAAACAATTGAGACCCTGCAATTGTGTGTAAATGAGGCAGAAAGTACGATCAACAACCTGGGACTTGGTAACAAATTTTTGTGATGCCAGGCGGTAGTACCTCTCTGTTTGATAGCTGCCTACTACCTACTACCTAATAGCAGTAGTGTTTTATTTTTGGTACAGTACAGTACAGTACTGTAATTTGGTGGATTTTCAGATTAAAGGACGGTATGGGCCTGACTTGGACAGCTTGGCTGGGGGAACTGGTGGTACAGGAGGTCATGTAGTTGGCATTATGGTGGACCCTGAAGCTCGACTTCATCTCCTTGTTAATGGGGTGGACCAAGGTGTGGCAGCTAAAGAGATTCCTCCAAGTCCTCATGTGGTCCTCGACTTATATGGACAGTGTCAAGAGGTTAGTCTCATTGATAACACTTCTCCATATCACATGAATTTGACATTTTTTATTGTAAATATAATAATCTAATTCTTTGGTGTCTGCTTTACTTGTTCTTGGTAAAACAATAAGCTTGAGGTAGACCTATAATTTTTTAACTTAATCACAATATTTTACCAATGTTGAAATACATCTTCTGGTTCCTTTGGGAGTTTAATGAGTGAGTTAGGGATCATGTAATCATGAAATCATGCAATTTCATATGAATTGTTTAATGGGAAAATAAAGGTTAATTTCTAGGACTCATCATGACCATATATTAATGGATTTATTCTCTGTCTGGCAGTGAAGGCATTTTATTGCATGTGTTGTAAGTTAAATTATAACACAGAGAGAAATGATCAGCTTCTTCCCCAAGACATGTTTATATGATTCTGGAGCTAATTTGTAGCACCCTTGTCTAGCCTGGAGTTGGCTACCCTCCCATTTCTCAATGGACAAATCTAAGTCAACTGGACTGTAATTCCAACAGGGCTGACTGGTTGAAGGGTGGGTTGTGAATGCTGATACGACACCATGAATCATTGCCTCTTACCTTGAATAGTGATGGTTACTCCATGAACTTGGTTGTGACAGGAAAGTGTACCCCTGGCTGCAGTAATGACTTTTGGAGTACCCTCAGCTGCTGTTGTAGAAGGGGGTCTTGGGTCTCATTCCACTTATATACATGATGAATATGAGTGGCTTAACTCCTGACTCAGTCATGAAAGAGACATTTGGGATCTTTCATCTCTCTTTTCTTTTTCTTTTTCTTAAAGTTTTAGGGTTCATTAGCCAGCAGCCTATAAGACTTACAGAAATGCCTGTCTTGTTGACTCCTTTGTATATTGAGTTGCATTTTCTGGAGAGAGAGAGAGAGAGAGAGAGAGAGAGGAGAGAGAGAGAGAGAGAGAGAGAGAGAGAGAGAGAGAGAGAGAGAGAGAGAGAGAGAGAGAGAGAGAGAGAGAGAGAGAGAGAGAGAGAGAGAGAGAGAGAGAGAGAGAGAGAGAGAGAGAGAGAGAGAGAGAGAGAGAGAGAGAGAGAGAGAGAGAGAGAGAGAGAGAGAGAGAGAGAGAGAGAGAGAGAGAGAGAGAGAGAGAGAGAGAGAGAGAGAGAGAGAGAGAGAGAGAGAGAGAGAGAGAGAGAGAGAGAGAGAGAGAGAGAGAGAGAGAGAGAGAGAGAGAGAGAGAGAGAGAGAGAGAGAGAGAGAGAGAGAGAGAGAGAGAGAGAGAGAGAGAGAGAGAGAGAGAGAGAGAGAGAGAGAGAGAGAGAGAGAGAGAGAGAGAGAGAGAGAGAGAGAGAGAGAGAGAGAGAGAGAGAGAGAGAGAGAGAGAGAGAGAGAGAGAGAGAGAGAGAGAGAGAGAGAGAGAGAGAGAGAGAGAGAGAGAGAGAGAGAGAGAGAGAGAGAGAGAGAGAGAGAGAGAGAGAGAGAGAGAGAGAGAGAGAGAGAGAGAGAGAGAGAGAGAGAGAGAGAGAGAGAGAGAGAGAGAGAGAGAGAGAGAGAGAGAGAGAGAGAGAGAGAGAGAGAGAGAGAGAGAGAGAGAGAGAGAGAGAGAGAGAGAGAGAGAGAGAGAGAGAGAGAGAGAGAGAGAGAGAGAGAGAGAGAGAGAGAGAGAGAGAGAGAGAGAGAGAGAGAGAGAGAGAGAGAGAGAGAGAGAGAGAGAGAGAGAGAGAGAGAGAGAGAGAGAGAGAGAGAGAGAGAGAGAGAGAGAGAGAGAGAGAGAGAGAGAGAGAGAGAGAGAGAGAGAGAGAGAGAGAGAGAGAGAGAGAGAGAGAGAGAGAGAGAGAGAGAGAGAGAGAGAGAGAGAGAGAGAGAGAGAGAGAGAGAGAGAGAGAGAGAGAGAGAGAGAGAGAGTATCAAATACACAATCTCTTCAGAAACATAGTTGCTCAAATCCAGGCTCTAAGAAGATGCGATTCAGCATCTTCTGATGCTACCAAAATGTTTTTTTTTTTTTTTACAATTTTAGATTTTCATTATTATAGTAAAGCACTGGACAAAAGTTAAATAAAATCACTACAAAATTAAAAAAACTGAGGCAACCTCAATTGGGTTTGGCCTCTAGTTAGGTATTTCTTGTGTATGTGAGTTTTTCCATACATTTACTATATATTCATTCCTTTTCTTTATTAACAGGTTATCATCAGCAGCAGCAGTGTAAGCAATGAATCTGTCACCACCACTACCAGCAGCAACACCACCATTAATACATCTTCCAACACAATCTCTATTCCTACCACCAATTCCACCATCACTACCAACTCAGTCACCTCCACCGCCACACAGTTAGGTCAGGAACAAAATAAAAAGAACCTCATGAAAATTCATCACCATCATCATCACCATCACCACCATCACCATCACCATGCACACAATATTCAGCAGCAACAGCAGCAACCACAGTCACAGCAGCAATCACAGCCCTCACAACAGCCAGGAAGTGGTGTGATGCTCTCCAGTCTTAACCAAGATAACAGCGGGAGCAACATCTCTAATAATGACTCAAGCGTAGTAAGACGACCTAGTTCCAACAACGAGGCGGAGCACATAACACAACTTCACCCACCTAAAGATAAGGATAAGGTGAGAACATCTTGAGGGGGTAATGGTAAATATTGTTGGTCTGTAATTGAGAGTATGACCCATTGTAGTGATCATATTAAGTAAAGTTATTATTATTATTGTTAGGAACCCTGCAAGATAAATGCAAAGGTTGTAGGCCATAAAAATAGCTCCTACAATACAGAAAAGCCAGAGTTTGAAAACTCAAAGATGGGAGGGTAGAAGCCAGGCAGGAATGACAAGGAAGCTGATGTTGATGACCTGAACATAAAGATTATCTGCCATCTCACCCAGGATGTCTCGGGAATTCCACCGACAAACAATGCCCTGAGGTTTCACATTCTTATGGTAGCCTTCCAGGTACACATTTGGACCAGGAGCTATGAAGCTGAGCTTACCCACATGAAACCAACAGTTAGTGGGAAGATCTCTAGGAACAGCTGGTGTCAAAGTAGATGTCCTTCCCACTTGTTAAAGATGTGATTCAGCTCACCATCAAATGTACATGCAAGAAGATTGTGATAGGTGCAAATGCAAAAAGGACAAGTTAAGTAGTATGTGAGTGTGCAAGTGCACATGCCAATTAAGATACATGTACTGTAATGTGTTTTCAAGGAATTTGTCGATAATCATGTGCTCTTAAAGAAATTTTTAAATTTTATCCATTTTCTGCTCATTAACATAAGATTTTTTTTGTGCCTTATTTCAGTGCTAATTAACACTCTTGGAGTTTTCATATGCAAAATTGCTCTAAGGTTTTTATACACAAATTTGTGTATGACTTAAAAAATTTAATAATTTCTTTTTGTGTGTGTATGAACGCTAGACATGCAAGACGCACATTTTGCAACGTCAGCACAATCTGGCAACGATGTATACTGCACTCCAAGATCTTCACACCAGTCTCTCTTTTGTGTTTAAATCACCTAGGATATACTGTAATGTTGATCTACATTTCCCCCGCATCTTGCGGCTTGTGCTAATTTCTCGTGTATCACAGAGATTTAATTTATTCAGAACAGCGTTGTGAGAGTTTTGAACCATGCCTCTTGTTGCTAGTAAGGGTGGAGGGGTGGGAAAAATTAAAAAGTGCAAGGAGATTGTACTGTACCACATGGTAATGGTGTGGTGGCTCCTGATGTCTCTCCCTAGTGAAGTATTAATTTTTCACAACTTTTCTTCTATAACCATTTTTTCCTATATACTGTAAGTGCGTTTTAAAACAGAATAATGTTCATTATGTACAATTATCTCTTGTGTGGTGCAGTCAAGTGCGGTGAGGTAAGTAACAGGCCAGACCCCGAGTGTGTCGTGGGAGAGAGCCTATCCAAACTCAAGAGTGTTAATAGATTTTGTTTCCTGCAGGTCACTGTTGAACATTTTGGTTCACATTTTGTGCATTCATTAGGCATCCAACTGTAAAATCATCAAAGCACTAAGAAGTGAAGAACAAACATATTCTCAGAGATTTCTTAGAATATTTTGGAAAAAAATTGAGAACATCGACATGGCAGCCATTAGGTGCATTTATATTATAACAAAGACATCATTGTCACTGAGCATTCAATACCTCATTGGTCGCAATCAGACCATCACTTCTGAAGAAATACCATTTTTTATACTTCACCTCCCTTTCCTTTGAGGTTCAATCCCAGCCCTCCCAGGGCCAATTTTTTAGGGTACACCTTTGGAAAATTCTTAGTTGGGTTCCATTCTATCAGTTCAAAAATGAAATGAAACTTGGCCAACAAGAAGTTCCTTCTGGGAATCTCTCCACTAGAAGGAGATTTCTTGGTAATGAAGGGTCTTTTCAGACATTTTCTTCCAGAATTTTTTTTTACATCCATGTTAAGCACTTTAGAAAATTGTTCTGGAAATTCATATTCTGCTTCCCTGTTCACACCAGCATCTTCATTACTCACTCTAATAACGTGTAAATTAGCCATCTTTTTAAACCTGTCAAACTATTTACTACTAGCCATAATTGTTTCCTCATTAAAACTTCACATGTTCAGTAATTCAAACATTGTCTTTGAAAATCATTCCAGTTGTTGACTGGTTGAGCCCTTTTGCTGTAATGTTGCTGTTTCTAGGTGACAGGTGCATCACTTGGTCCACTCTTATGCTTATCAGCCATAGTTGTGGCTCAAACAAGGCACTAATAAACAAAATATAAAAGAATGAACAGTTTTGCTTGCTTGGAAAATAGTGCAAGCAAGACAATGGACAATAGGGAACCACTCATTGCTGCAGTGGATGGTAGTAATCCTCTGCCTTCAGATTAGTTCCACTAATGCTCCTAATTTTTTTTGCTCGTAAATGTGAGGGAGCATTCGTATACTGTCAGTTAGGTTCTTGGAGACATGTTCTTAAAATTGAAATACTGTATTTTAATCCAAACGTTCTTGTATTTCATTTTATAACTCACATGGCTGGTTAGATAACATGTTAGTTATTGGGTCAACACTAGTATGTAGATCACTTGATCATAAATTATTGTGTCCTGGGGAGAGATTGTTTTTTTTCAATTTGTGAAACTTTCAGATATTAATATTTTTTTAATATTTGTATTTTTCAGAGTGTCATAAGAGCCTTACCTGATAGCAGTATAGTGAAGAATTGTGAATACCAGAATATGTGTCATCGGTTTAAGACCTCTTTGGCCTTACCAGGTAAGAAATAGATATCTATGAACCATGTAGTACACTTGGTTATATGATAGCAAAGGAAACACAACTTTACAAATGACTCTGTGTTTTCTTTGATACCATATAACCATTTGTCCTAATGAATATAACTCATGTACACTTGATAAATATTTAATTCAAATATCACCTCACTCGAATAAATTCATGGGGAGATAATCATCTGTCCATTCATCTGTTTTTAGCCACAGTATTGTCAAAACAAGAACTTCATTTTTAGTCTTTACGAACCTCTTAAATTTTTTTTATTCATCCTCCTACTTGAAGTATAGGGACCTCTTTTGACTTCCTTATATGATCTCTCAAAAGTTCATAATTTTGACACAGGTTGTTCAGTATCTTTACTGTAGCATCATCTGTCAGGTACAGTAGAACGTTGATTTATAGCGATTCAATTTAAGATTGTTGAATTAAAGCGACACCCACAATTAAGGACAATGTTTTAATTTAAAGCGAATTTTTCCTATTTTGTGTGAGTCAAACTGGCGCATCATATTTTAAAATTCGCATTTAATGTTTCTCTGGGCACGCTACACTGTCCTAAGGGCAAAGCTGTACTGTACATGTACTCAAAATAATGCAAACTATAGCATGTTAATATTCAAATTAATCACTATCTTATAAGAATTCCAGCCGTGTAAATTATACTCTTCCCGGTCAGTTCTGTGACATTTTATAAACAAAAAACAAAAACTCAATCTACAGGACATAAATAAACAAATAAATACTTCACTAGACCTTCGGCCCCAACTGTCAAACATGTCACTGGCACCTCCCCCCCCCCTTCACCCCCCATCTTCCCAGCCAGGGTTGGGTGGTTATAGACTTAGTTTTTATCTTATATAATATCAGAGACTAAAGTTAAAATATAATTTGCATTGCTGGAATCCTTGTAAGACAGCGAATAATTTGAATATAAACGACATATATTTTACACAAGAGATAAAAATTTTAGCCCTATGTAATAAAATTAATTAGAACTAAAATTTGTATGTCTAATGAGAACTATAGCATGTATACATTCACACTAATCACTATCTTTTAAGAATTCCAGCAATATTAATTATATTCTCCTATGTCAATTCAGTGACATTTTATGAGAGAAAAACTTAGTCAGATAAATAAATAAGCACTAGACCTTGGCATCAACTGTCAAACATATCACCTCACCCTCCCCCCCCCCATTTTCCCATCAGCTTATCGCTAGTAAACAGACCATTTCACGTCACATAATTTTCGCTGTGTTGATTTATGAGTGTTTGCTTTAACATAATACTTCAAAAAACAATGTTTTGTTTATTCTAGGAGATGGGCTGAGGTGCATCTGGGTAGACTCAGTTTTTTTTTTTTAGTATTTTTTTTTTCTCTCAAGTACCAAACTAAATTATGCCATTGAAACAACACTTCGATTTAGTGCGAATTCGGTTTAAAGCAACCTGTCTTGGAACATATCTCGTGTTATATCCATGTTCTACTGAAGCTCTCATAATAGAGAGCAACTCACCACAGTGTCCTCAATTCCTTGGATAGAGACCCAGATGTCAATTAACCTTTATCCATTTGAGTATACCATTCACTTTACCCTTCCCACTGTACTGCCATACTTCAAGTGAGGGAAACAATACAGCAGTTATCCTCTTCCCCATGCATTGGCATCAGGTCTGCCCCCTATGAATCTGGCGTCACTAGGGATGTAGTTACCAAAATCAATCAATCATTCATCTATCTCTATGAATCTGCACAAATCTGAATTCAGCCTTTCGTTTTGTTTATGCAGTTTTTGGTTAACAATGTTAGCTACCAGTCATGGCTAATTGTTATTGCCCTCCTTTGCTAATATTTCTACAAAAGCTAACTATCAACCCCAGTTTTGATATTTTGCAATCTGTTCTTCTTTTTACTGACACTTGATTAATTTTAACCATGTCTTATGGTGATATGTGTTAGTATATGCAAATTGCAGTGAATGTTGGCTTTCTCTTGGTCACTTTTTAAATAGTGAGGTCAAGGGTCTGCAACCTTTATTAAGTAATCGGCCACATTACAAGCAACAAATACAGTAAAATCCCAGTTATCCAGCACCTACGGTAATTGAGAGGTGCAGGATAAAGAGTTTTTCTGGTTAGTTGAAACTATTAGGATACCCTCATTAAATCCTACAGTACAGTACTCTGTCTCAGAAAAAAGGACTTCTTTAACACTTATTCTACTCTATATAAATGACGTGGCTTAGAAATAAAGAAAATATAGTACAGTGATCCCTCGGTTAACGAACGGTTCGATTAACGAAATTTCGGTTCACAAATTACCTCCCATAAGGATCTTCAATTCGGTTAACGAACAAAACTTTGATTAACGAAATCCTTACGACAAACGCATTTTGTTGTGAGCATCAGCTGATGGGCTAGTCTGCCAATTAAGTTATCTGTTCTATGTTTACATTCATTTCCAGTGGATTAAATATCAAGAAAGTTGTACTCTTTAATATTTTTGCATTTTTTATATTAAAATTATTAGTCATTTTAAAATTTAGTTAACATTTTGATAATATATGCAGTACAGGGAACTAGTTTTTTGTGCGCCCATCAGCCGCTTGACTCACCCACCAGGCGTCAGTGTGGCTTTGTTTATGTTATCGCCGCTGGCTTCAGCTACAGTGCTGGCGTGTGATGCCATTAAATCTTTCGACCTGTGACCTCGCCAGATGTAGAAGTGTTTACAGACAAGATTTCATGCCATTAATCACCACACACTGCTTGCTGTCTTGTAGAAAGTCTTCTATCCACGCTAGGACATTTCCCGAATTCCGTACCCTTCCAGTTTGAATTTTAGCCTTTCGTGGGGAACACTGTCGAAAGCTTTGGCAAAATCTAGGTACACATTGTCGAGATTACCACCCCATTCCCGAGTATAGCTGCCTACTACCTACTACCTAACAACAACTCTTAGGAAACAAAATATCACCGTTTAACATAAGACTTCAAGCTTATTAGAAGAAAGGGACTGGTAACAACTATAGCACCATCACATAATGGGAACACCACAGCCGATTACAATGAACACGTGGTAACAATACGTTATATCCACAATAATATTAAATTACGACATTCACTCAAAGGTTATTGAGGATTTACAGTTTGTATACGAAGACTATTTCTCTGTTTCCTTAATTAAATTCACCTTAGAAAAGGACGTTTTGCATCAACAGTGGACATCAGAAGTGACAACACTTCCATTGCTAATGTCCAAAACAATTATATTTTGCATCTCCCTCTTCATTTACAACGCTAATAACAGGTTTATAAAATTGCTGACTCTTTTGGGGTGTAAATATACCGCCAGTCTCCACAACTTACTGTGTAGTTCGAATCTTTTCTTTATTTCCCTACACACTACTACTACTAGAAGTCTCTGAACCACATCTTCGTCAGTGTTCATGCTTATCTTATAATGCTCTAGCCTTTGGAAGGTGGCATGTAATTGCGATCCTGAATATATCTGATTGACTGGTACATATAGGGAAAGGTAAATGTGCACATTTCTCAACACATCTTCACGAGTACGTGGCCAGGACTTTGCTGCTTCGCTGGCACAGAGATGCATGCTTTGTGCAACACGTTTAAATATGGTAATGCCAAGCATTTGAACTTCCATTCTGCTAATTACACAGTTATATTCGCCCGTAATGTTTAATGCCCCATCTGCAGCAGACCCAATGAAGTTGTTCAATGGTAAATCATGTGTAGTGAGGCACTGAAACAGCATGTTATATATTTTCACCAGTCGAACCCTGATTATCTTCAAATACTCCAATCAAATCCAGCATCGCGATTTTGTCATTATCTCTCCAGATCAAAATACTTCACTATCATTGCACGTGATTTACTTACTGAGCAGTCGGTACTTTCGTCAATAATTACACTAAATTTATTTGTAGTTTCCTAACCAAGTTTTGAGTTGCACATTCCCCTAAAGCTTGCACGACGACCTTGCATCTGGTCCGTTTCGTTGCCGTTTGAGCGGCTGTCTTGGAATCGGGAACATTCGCTTATTGAGGTCGTCAAGGTGGTCACCTAAGCTATAAAAAATATTAAATTTATTTGGCTATACTTGCAACTGAAGATTGTGAGATCACATGCTGCTAAATGATTAACGTTTCTCCCACCCTTACTTGGGACAGATTAACTCGACCACTTATTGAGCAGTGCCATTACATTTTGGGCTAAAACACAAGAGGAAACAAACACTAAATCACCTGAATGGCATCATGTTCTGCCAAAAACACTGCGAATAGGACAGTTGCCTTCGCCTTTGCACTCAGTATGGCCCCGGCAGGGTGAAGACGTGTCAGGTTACATAAGAACATAAGAATGGAGGAAACTGCAGCGGGCCTATTGGCCCATACTGGGCAGTCCCGTTTACACCCAACCCCTATTGCTCATATAAGCATCCAACCTATGTTTGAAGCTATTCAGCGTATTCGAGTTAATGATGATATTTGGTAACTTGTACCATTCATCCACTACTCTGTTTCCAAACCAGTGTTTACCTATTTCGCGCCTAAATCTAAATTTGTCTAATTTAAAACCATTGTTACGAGTTCACTCCTGGTTGGATAGTTTGAGTACCTTTGTAATGTCCCCTTTGTTTAGCCCTGACTTCCATTTATACACCTCTATCAGGTCGCCCCTCGCTCTACGTCTCTCGAGGTAGTGCAAATTAAGATGCTTTAACCTGTCTCTATACTCAAGGTTCCTAATGCCCGGGATTAGTCTTGTCATTCTCCTCTGAATTCTTTCCAAGGATTCTATATCCATTCTGTAATACGGTGACCAGAACTGAACTGCGTAATCCAGGTGTGGTCTCACAAGCGCAAGATACAGTTTTAGGATGACCTCGCTAGTCTTGTAACTAACACTCCTTTGTGTGAACCCAAGTACTTTATTAGCCTTGTTACGAGCAAAAAC